AACACCTGCGGACGTTTTCAGATCCGAAGCAGCTTGATTTTCTCCTCTCTCTCGAAGACAAAAGCTTCAAATATTATTTATCTGACGTGGAACAGTTTTGTGGTCTACCAACCGTTATTAAGAGTCATATTTTCAATTAGTTTCATTTGACTTTCTCTTTGCTTATGCAGGTGGATTATGTTATATCAAATCTCATCAGAAATATCGCCTGAAAAATGAATCATTTATACGAAATGGCTGTTTTGACTGGTAATCAAATAAATGAATGGTCGTCTCTGACTTCTGCACAGTACTGTACAAAGTAGAGGTTCCTAATAAAGTGAATGAATAAAGATTCATGGCGCTGTAAGGAGCTGAATGCTTGTGAATTAATCTCTCCTGGCAGTTCTTTCAGCCTGAGTATTGATCATGCTAATCAAATGCTCCGCCATTACATAATTCATATACATTTTTGCCTTTCAGAACAGCTTAGTGGCAAACCCTGTATATGCACTGTAAGCATTTCGTATCAGCCGCAGACTTTCATGTGGTTAAGAGTAATTTGCTTATTAATCTCCGAAGCTTTTTTTTCCAAATGTGTGATGTGTAATGAATAAACGTTAGCCATGTTTCTCATGACTAGCCAAGAAAACGGGCCAGAAAAACATGGTTCCTTTGTTTCAGACAACAGCGTGGGCCAAGTGATGTATAAACAGAAAATTACTTCATTTATTTATCTGTATGTTTGCCAGCAGATCTTTCCCAGACTTATTTTCTCTTCTCTTTTCTCCAACCACAGAACTCCACTCTCTGGCATTGAGACTGCACAGCTCTTGTAGTTCACTTGGAAGCAGGGTCCCATTGGCTGGTGGTCCTGCCTCTGGTGTATCAGGATTGAGAGGCCATGTATTCTTATTGGACTTCTTCACATCTTTTACTACCCAGCCAGAAAAGCGATGCTTAATAACTGGAGGATCACAACCAACTTCTTTTCTTTTTCTTTCCCATGCTCCCACTGGTTCTGCCAGTGGTTTCCAGTATTTTAACAAAGCTCGACACGTACTCCTGCAAATCAGGTCAAGATGTTGAAGCAGTAATGGCATGGCGTCAGTGTTAAATAATGGCACAAAGAAGGTTCTCAGTGGCTCACCAGATACAGTATGACTTCCAAGCGTAACTGCTGGGCCTACATTCATATTAACAGTGGGGGGTGGGGGTGGGGGGGGGTCACTAAATAGCTTAATAACCACTTCAGTGTTCACCGTTGGACCATCGTACCACTCAAAAATCTCCTCTTCTACGTCCCTACCAACACATTTGGATGTTAGTTTAACTCTTTTATGAACACAATTACATTAGTTTTTTGTTTTTCAACCAATCACATTTCTGTGTTTAGCAAACAGGAAAAAAAAAATAAACAGGCTCTGATTTATATATACATTAAACACATATTTTAAACAGACATTTAAAAACACTAATTTTTTTCACACCAAAATAATGTATGCAAGTTTAATTTTTAAAACAATGTTATAATTACATTAATATCTAGGCTGAATGAAGTTCTAATAAACTTAATATTCAGAAAAAGGTTAAAATATAATTTATATTCAGAATGAAATAGTCCAATAGTCCAAATTTATGATACGATTAAAATCCAGAATGTTTTTATATATATATATAAAAAATACATATTATGTAATAACTACTGTAAAAAGACAGATATAATACATTATTTGACCTTAATAACTTCTTGTTGTTCCCAATATAACTGAAATATTCAAAACAGCCAAAATACCTTTCATTGTCTGGTTTATAATTAAGTCTACATTGCATGAGTTTATCAAATGAAGTAAATTCTTAATGTGACGAGTAATTTTGGACGCATTTCTACACTCGAATGGAGCTTCCTTTGTTTCAGTCTCACTTCGAGCCTCTTCCTGTCATCCTTTTTCCCCTTTTCTCTTTTGCTTTCCTTCCTTCATTCACCCCCCCCAACCCAGCCCCATCCTCCCTCTTCCCCACCCTCCTCATCTCTCCGTCTCCTTCTCAGACACGTATTATTGTCTTATTAAATTATGCAGCCAAGAGCAATTAAAAGCGAATCCAGCAGCTCGCTGATCCTGCGCTGGGTAAATATCATGGCTGCTCTAATTGAATCTGAGGAGAGAGAATTGACATTAACAAAGTGCATGCACAAATACAAAACACGGCAACAAGGGAAGGGACAATATGTTCTGCATAACAAACGGCATTGGAAAAACACACACGCTCACACATGCAAAGAATAAAATAAGCTGATTAAAAAAAGCTGATTTAAAAAAAGAGGAGATAAACAGCGAGAGGACGAGAGAGAGAGATAGAAAGTGAGAGAGAGAGAGAGAGAGAGAGCGAGAGATTGATCAAGTATTTTTAGTGTGTGGGTTTTGTTTTATTTATGAAGAAGAAAAGAAGATATTCTTGAGAGTTTTGTTTTACAGTCTAACAGATCCTTCGAACAAAGGAGGTGCAGCTTTTTCTTCAAAAGAAGCTGAAGATCCCCAGCGGCGGTACAGAAGTGGATTTATATAATAGAGCGAAAGCAGGAACACTGAACAGCGCGTTTATGTGCACTAACCTTCAGTACATTTGCCCATTAAATATGAAGAATAGGTTAATGTTCATATCTACTGATACATGTTCATCATTACATGAGACTAAAATGAACTATACTAGACGTAGAATTGGACTGAACTGAGCTTAAACCTTAAGGTAAGGGGAGGGAAAGGCTGAAAGGTGAGGGAAAGGACCTGCCCCAGGTGGAGGAGGTTATGTATCTCTGGGTCTTCTTCACGAGTGAGATTGGCTGCAGGCTGGGACAGGCGGCAGCAGTAATGCGGTCACTGTATCGGACTGTAGTGGTGAAGAGGGAGCTGAGCCCCCTCTGAGATACATCCTGACCCTCACCTGTGGTCATGAGCTTTGGGTAATGACCGAAAGAATGAGATCCAGAAAACAGGCGGCGGAAATAAGCTTTCTTTGCAGGGTGGTGGGCTGCACTCTACTTAATAGGGTGAGGAGCTCGCTCATCCAGGAGGATCTCAGAGTACAGCCGCTACTTCTGCACACTGAGAGAAGCCAGTTGAGGCATCTGATCAGGATGCCCCCCAGACGCTTCCCGGTGGGGGTTTGCCTCTGGGGTTGTCCTAGGACCCGCTGGAGGGATTATATCTCCAAGTTGGCCTGGGAACGGCTGAGGGTCCCCCAGAATGAGCTGGAGAAAGTTGCGGGGGACAGGGTCATCTGGAATTCTCTCCCACCTGCTACCACAACTCTATCTGGATTAAGCAGTTGAAGATGATGAATGAATGAATGGGGGGGTGGGGGGACAGGGCTGGAGAGTTGTTCCACCAAACAAACACTTGCCCTACAGCAACATGGAACCAATGGCAGAAATTTTGGAGTGGCATCTGGGGTTGCCAATCAGATGTCAGGCAGGGGGGAGCTAGCCACTCCAACCACCCCTTCAAAACTGTGCATGCCTGGCTGTAATATTCGGATGGGGGGGTTGGTAAGTTAGTGCCAGTGAATAGTGCAAAACATCTGAGTCTTTTTGCTTTAACTTTCTATCGTGCACAAACTTGCCTAACTAATGCAGCATAGAAATGTGGTTCAATTCATTCCTGAATCTGTAGAGTTGCTCTTTCCATTGCATCTTATTGTGAGATCTTATTGTACGTGACTCACATCCGGAGTAATGAGGCTCTGAAGAGGGGCTGAGATACACATCAACTGCCTTTCACCATGTGTAGTTGGTGAGCTTGTGTGTCCATCTACATTTTGTGTGAAACTGACCAATGGACACTCAGGAAATCACTAAGAACAGACCCATCATGCCGGAAAGCCTTCATTCTTCATTCACTCGACAGTGGAGACACATGTGAAATGGCATGCAGAGAGTTTACAGCTGCTGAAGTTGCTGCAGCAGTTTTGAAAAGTAGTGGCAAAGATAAAGGAGCCTTTTGATAACATGTGGGTATCATTTTATATGCAAGTGCCTTTAAAGGACAATTTAAAAAGATACACACTTAAAAAAAGATGGTTCTTTAGTAAAGAAAATGAGTCTATATAGAACCATGAACACATAGAACCCTCTGTATGATTAAAGGGTTCATTGCATCATGAAAGGGCTACTCAGACTGATGGAGAATGTGCTGAAGATGGTGCTATTTAGAACCTTTTTGAAAAGGGTTCTATATAGCACCAAAAAGGGTTCTTTTATTGTTATGATGTCAAGCTTGTAACAATAGCAGAACCCTTTTTGTGCTGTACAGAACCCAAGGTGCTATTCAGAACCATATATAACAAATTCTCCATCTATCTGACGAACTTTTCACCATGCAAAGAATCATTTAAACATGCAAAGAGTTCTTTGAGTGTTCAAGGCTCAATATAGAACCATTGTCTTTATTTAAGAACTTTTATTCTGGTTTGTTGCTACAAAAAATTCTACAGTTTGACTGGCTATAAATCAAACCTTTGTGAATGTTCTCAAGTGAGATAACATTTACATTGATTAAGAAGAATAAAGTGGAACAGAAGAAAAATGACCCCTGAAAAGAGCCTAAGAGTAAAAAAGTTGGTTTTGTTTTTGCAACAATTGTTTCTTTTTTTGTTTTCCTTTTAAAACTTGTAGGACGTATTGGTTTCTGTTGACTGCTGAAACCACTGAGAGTAATGATCAGCCAGTTAATTACCAGCATCTGACCTGTTAAGGCTTAATTGGAGCATTACGAGGGTGTCATCATGTCCCTTTATACTGAAGTGTTACCATGCTTGTATATTGTTCTTGGTTTATTGTTAAAATTCTCCATGGTTTATTGTGAATAACAGTGTACATCCGAGAGAGGATCTACCGAAAACAGCTAAAGAGATGAAAGAGCAATAGATGTCACTTTCAAGTGCTGAACACAGGCTTTGCCTTACTGGTTGAAACAAAGTAGGACTTGTTTACCTCATTGGTGGATGATGGGACAGATTCTTACCTCATTGGTGGACAGAACGGAGTCTTCATCCAGGCTGAGCACCGCATCCGTCCTGATGACGTCATGAGGGAAAAAGCGGCCACTCATTGTCTAGAAGAACAGCAAGAGGAAATCAGAGATGGTCAGGAACTGCGTCTGAGACCACCTTTCATTTCTTTATCTTCCAGTCAAAACAGATATTACATATTTTGATTTTTATTTCCGAGCAGATCAGATACAAGATAATCCACTTATATAGAAGTCAAACGTAAATAATAAGCAAAAAATCTTGAGTTTAAAAATGGTTAAAAGACACAGAGAAACTAGGACTCTTAGCAACCACCTGGAAGACCTGGTAGACACCAAAACTGCCCCCATCAGATAAACAGCACTTAAAGCTTTCATCTTTGAGAGAGAGGAGAAAATCAAGCTGCTTCAGATCTGAAAACATCCACAGGTGTTTCTGTCCATCCTTCCACTGTGAGAAGACGACTCAGCGCTATGGGTCTGAAAGGATGTGTAGCTGTTCAAGAAGAACCTCACTGAGAAAAGGAGACGGACACATCAAACAAAGGAGCTGAACAATGGACTGACCACCTCAGAGTCCAGACCTCAACATCACTGAATGTGTTCACTGGGATCATGAGAGGCAGAAAATGCCACTTCTAAGGTATGGAAAAACATCGTCAAAAAACCGAAAGCGAGTCTTCTGAAAAGAATGGCAGCTATATTAAAAGGTCAAGAATGCTGACCACCCCATTGTCCAGACCTCAGCATCATTGAATGTGTTATTACATGGAGTATAAGAAGCAGAAAATGAAACCAACTACTAAGACTGAACTTTGGAGGTGTGTAAAATATCTGTTGTTCAGTCCCATAATAATAATAATTAGGTGGTGTGTCCCAATACTTTTGTCTATGTAGTGTACCATATTATATACATATCGCTGTTGTTGGAAGAAAACCTCGTAACATAATGTGAAAATACCTGTTGCCCTTTACATTTTATGTAAATTTCATGACGATTGGACTACAAGAAATGACCCAAAATGACTTGGAAAAAAATCTGGTTCCATTGACTTACATTAAAACTAAAGTAGGCTTTTTCCTTCTCCTGTAAAGTTACCATTTTGGAGATACGAGGTTTTCTTCCGACAACAGCACTAATATAGTTGTACAATTTGGTGACTTAAAATTATCCAACTTTAAGAATTGACAAGGAGCATCTAAATCCATCAAAATACTCCCCACCAGCAGTGATTTTTCTGTCAAAGAAAAAAAAAAACTAATTCATCTTCACCTCATCATTCATTGCCTTCATTATCGAGACATCTGTTTCCGTGTTTTGTTTAGATCATGTGAAAAATCGCACCGAAATAATGTGGCAAACTGCAAACAGCTCTAAGCTGTAAAAGTGCAATATCTCCTTCAACTTATGACAGGCTGCCATAAAAACAGCAGCTCCAGAGCGCTAGTCTTCAGCTCTGCTGTTCTGACATTAAGGCCTATATATTTCCCCAGGCTTGTGACAGGCTTAATGAAGACTGAGAACCTTCAACATGGAGAATACAGAGCATTGCTCACATCAGAGTCAGGGCTGGGCACAGTACTTTTGGCTGAAAGCTGAATACACTATCCTAAGTATTCAGTAACGTATTTCATTACAAAACATGAAAATAATGTATTCAGAATACATTTAGTAAACTAAATGTTTACTAAGTAAACAATTCCCATATCCCAACAACAAATTCAAAGCAAATTTGACCACAAAGTGGATAACTACGCCACTTTTTGTTGACATGTATGTAACAAAATGCATGCGCAAGTCCAGCACAACAAGAATGCAAAGATGAACACGTCCACTACTGAGGAGACTGTTCAGTTCAGTCACCCCTCAAAAGAGTTTAATGATGCTGAGATTAACAACTGACTCACAAGTTTGATTTATCAGTCTACTCAGGCTTTAGCATGAACTTTTTGTTTATAAAGTTTTGTTTGTTTTTTGTTTTTGTGTCTGGCCATTTTTAAATTAGTTGATAAACAAGCACTGATGGTGTTTCTTTAAAAGAGTGTACTTTTGTCATTCAGTGGGTAAGTCTTCTAAAGGTGTTCTCCTAAAAATGAGAAGGTACTGTATTCTGAATACTGCCTTTACAAAATGTAGCTTGGAGTGCATACAGATAATTAATTTCCGTATTCTCAAAACAAATTCCTAATGCTTGCATTCCGCTACACCCCAACCCTGATCACAGCTCACATAAACCACTCTGTGGGAAGAAGGCTTTAATTCAGTTCTGTCAAAAATGATATCAGCACTGTTTATTTTGTAATTGGATACACAGTTATTGCCAAAGCTGTTGGTTCCTTGGCTAATGTTAGAATTTGTTTGCCACTGAAAACCTTCTACATATTGTCGCTGTAGAGATACTTGTTTTTCTTTGGACAGCGATGATATGCTGTATTTAAATATAATGTAATAAAATAGTAGTTTTGGAAAGCTGTTAGACCAGACAGTAAGCATCTCTACTTTATTGTACCAGTTTTGTGTAAGTTTATATGTAAGTTTGTACGTAAAGTCCTTACTAAGACCTTGGTTAACACCAGTTGGGCACATCACCACTGAAATCGCAATGTTTCTTTCCATTCAACACATAACAACGGCAAGATTACGCCCATATTAACGAGATCACCCAACAACCAATTAAACATTTACCTTAATGAAGACATAAAATCAAACAGCTGAAATATACAAAGATAGAGTAAAGCAGCAAATTGTTGCTGGAGAAAATGAAGCAGGCATTTAGGAAAGACATGGAGAGCTTCAAGATCATGATTGGCCTCAACACAATGACAAATTAGGTCATTTTTTCCACTTTGCTGCTAGTCAAGCTCCCACGGCGAGTCAAAACAGCTGGGTAGATTTTCTCATAATTGATCATGGGGCCCCCTGGTGGCTTGGGCCCCTGGGCACGCACCCATAAAACCCTTTATGATCTGGATCTGCTTATACCTGCTTAGGGGGAGGAGTAAATATTGAGTAACTACTAAGCTGAACGTTAAAACTAGTTTGTGTGGTGCACCTTCTTCAGATTTAGTAACATGTAAACCTGAACTTAGTAAAAACCTTACATTCTAACTAGCCTATGGTTGACTTACGTACTGCTGGTGCAACTGGACCCTGGGCTATAAACTTTATATATTCAATTAAACACTAATATTGCAATAAATACAAATTTAAAAAATAAACAAAACATTGTCATTTGATGTGTGTGAGTGTGTTAGCTTAACCATTTCCAAAGCTCTCCTCAAGCAAGTCTAGTATACCATCCAATATCAAGTTTATCTAAGCAATTCTTTATTAAATTAGGTCAGGTCTTAAATTAGTCTACCAGATCCAGTAGGTGGTTGTTAGGAGTCTCCGTTTTTTTTTAAAATCTTTTAGTAATTTTTCAAACTCCTGTTTTTCATTTTATTTCCCTTCGACCTTCCCTGATCTTATGCAAGTGGATTGTCTTTTGTCTAGTTTTCTGAGAAACACCTTCTAAATGATGAATACCTCATACTTTTAACTGTAAATTAACGAAAAGAAGGGTGATCTTTAACTTTTGCACAGCACCGGATGCACTCAAACACACACACTCACTCTTTCTTTGTCTAAGAGCTTATTTGTCATCTTACTGCTTCATCGACAGCACCCTAATGGCTATAAGATGCGCTTCAGGACACAGAAAGAAAGAGAGAGAGAGAATCAGACAGGTGTGCCTGTGTGCCGCTCACCCTGACTGGTCTTTTCCAGAACATTCCACATCCCCTCTTTCACTTCCTCTCACTCTACTACTGTCCTATCCCACTGATTAGGGTGTTACCACGGCGACTGAGCTGTCACTCACTTCCTCGCGGCACTGGAGGTCTCTCCCAGGTCCTCTTTCACATGCCATCCCTGCACTGTTGACAGTCTGATTAAGCTTTGGGCCATTTGGCAGCGATCCAACATAGCACCTCTTTAGTACTAGGTTTTTGGCTGACTGACATAAAAAAGACTGTTTAACCGTCAGGAGTGGCAGCAATCGCTGGCAGTAACAAAAGCATAGTGTAATTAATTTGGCTTGACAAAGCCAACTTACTGTCCTGTTTATCTTCTTCTTATTGAGTCGGCTTAACAAAAGTCAGATCCACATATCCTGCAACCATAGGAACAGCCTAGCAGCATCTTAGCAACCACCTGGAATACGATACCAGTGACCTAGCAACACCTTAGCAACCACCTCTGATAACAAAACAATGGCTTAGGAACAACTTGGCAACCAACTGGAATACTGTAGCAATGGCCTAGCAATACCTTAGTAACCACCTGGGATACCATAGCAATGACCTATCCATTGCTATGACATTCACAGTCTCCTGAAATCAATAGAAATAGCCTAGCAACACCTTAGCAACTACCTGGAATACCATACCAGTGACCTAGCAACACCTTAGCAACTGCCTGGGATACCATACCAATGGCCTATCTATTGCAGTGATATTCAGAATTTCCTGCAACCATAGGAATGGCCTGGCAACAACTTAGCACCCACCTTGAATTCCATACCAATGGCCTAGCAACACCTTAGCAACCACCTGAGACAACATAGCAATGGCCTATTTACATTTTAGCAACCGCCTGGAATACCATAGCAATGACCCAGCAACACTTTAGCAACCATCTGGGATACTGGAGCAATCGCCTAGCAATACCTCAGCAACCACCTGGGATACTATAGCAATGGCCTGGCAACACCTTAGCAACCACCTGGAATACCATAGCAATGGCCTATGCATTGTTATGATATTCATAATCTCTTGCAGTCATAGGAATGGCCTGGCAACACCTTAGCAAGCACCTTTTTTTTGAATTTGATAAAAGATATTGTTGTGTAATGTCTCATTTGGCAGAAAGAAAAAGCATCCTTTACACTTTTATCATATCTTGTCACCACAACAAACAGAAAACAGGGAAAAAATAGACAGACTGTTGATACAGACTGTAAATCCACTGTAAATGTAACTAAAGCTGAACTATGTAATTTTTTTTTTGTTGTTAAAAGTGAAAGAAGTAAAATTTGTCAGAA